TTATCTAGAAAAGGAGTTTACTTTTGGGACAACCTAATACTAATTCTAAAACTACTCTCCAAGGAAATTTTGAGAGTCTGGTAGTTGAGGGTAGTAATCATACATGATAATCTCAAGGAACCATCTCAAGTATTCTGCAACCTCGAAATTTTTGTTGCATACTTCTTCGTTTTCACCCCTAGAGTCATAAGAAACGCAAATTACCTTCTTTGCCGGTAATGGGCGTCCATCGAACACCATAATGACATGGCAACCAAGGTCGAGCAACGCCTTTATATGCTTCTTCACATAGTAAATGTAACTATGAACGAGGTTATTGAAAGTAAAATATATCATGCGTAAAAAAATGAAAAAGAAAACCCCCACAATGTAGTTTTCTTTCCTTGCGCTAGACTCTCCGAACAACCAAACAATCCTTTATGTAATAAACAACTAACGTCAACAGCTACAGAACAACCGGAAAACTCTCGGACATTTCCCTGAAAGAATGCATTTCATTTCCTTTAAGTCACTATGTTCGAAAAGGAATACTTGTACCTGTCGACATGCCTTCTTTACAAATGGCAGGAGATTGTGGATTCCCATTCAAACGAATTAGATGCTGAGGCTCGGGGTAAATCAGTGCCTGAAAATCTTTTACGCTTATTTTTATCTACAAAAAAAAAACCATAGACTAAAAAGTTTATGTTGAAAGTGATGAAAAAGTAGCGATTCGAACATTTTCACTCGCAAATCCAAGATAAAGCAGACGCATTCGAGACAAGTTTGATCATGTTTTGAGCAATAAAGAGTTTGAATTTTTGTCCATATAATCCCCTCAATCTTCCATCGGATCGAAAGCTTGATGGAAACAATCTCAATTCGAAACAAATAGAATTGCTTGTTCTTTTCAAATGATATTCTCAGACGCAAAGACTGGTTCATATAGCTAATCCATTCACTTTTCTATTTAATTGGATAATTCGAGCAAGTCAAGGCTATTTGAATGCTTTCGCTACCATACGGAATTATCTGAATATCTAAAGAAGCTTTCGCAGCCGTGTGTATAGATTTGCCTACGGGGTGCTTTGGGAAGTGGGCTGAAAATTTTATCCAAGCATCAATACGAACAAGGATACACACATTTTTTTTTGCCTTCAAGCTCAAGTTAAAGATAGGAATGTATTCATCGGAACCTTGAAAATAAATAATAAACAGATGAGTTTACTAGCTGACAGACTCCCAATTTTTACTGTTCTAGGTTTGAGTGTTACAAACAAAAATCAAGCGATACTATAGACTAACCTCAA